CGCCTCCCGCCCCTTTATTTATTTTCTTTGAAGAGACTCGAATTTCCCGAGCGCGTCTGAAGGGAAAAAAAAAACAAAAAACAAACAAAAACCCGCTACTGTATCACGACATCAATGTGAAATGTCTTGTTCCCATCGTGCACTGATCATGAGTATTGTGTAAAGGATCTACTTGAGTGTGCAAGGAAAGAATCTACATGCTGCTATATGAATACTTTTAGAACAAAAAAAAAACAAAAACAAAAAAAAGAAACAAAAAGAAACTACTAACCTACGGAGGGGGGGGAAAAAAAGAAAAACCCTTCTTTATTCTTTCATTGTTGCTTTTACAGTGGTATTGCGCATGCGAACAGGAGCATTTTGTGTCTTCAAAAAAAAAAAGGAGAAAAAATCACATAAAAAAATAATAATCAAAAGAAAAAAAAACGTTAACGAGAGATGGCTGTAAAAATTACACCCATGCACAAAGACCCGACACCACCCCGATGCCGCAGTCTTGAGCTGGTATTCCCTCATCAGGCCTGGGGACTGATCAGGTTTTTTTGGGGTTTTATTCATATTTTTTTTCTCCGTGTGCACAGTTCTAGTTTAGTTCTGGTCCATCGGGTGTTACACTTGCGGACGAGAGGGAGAAATAACGTGCCATTTATTTTTATTTTTTATTTTTCACTTGAAGCTCTTCATCGCTGTACATTGGACCCCGCTAATGATACATGTGTACGTACGTTTTTTTAGTGCAATCTCTTCTGTAGATCTTTGTTGACCAAACTGGTGGGTATTGTTACTTATTAATTTATATTTGTCTCATTTTGTATGTATGTGTATAGTGTGTTTGTAAGTATGTGTGGTTTATAACCTGACCGACTGTGTCATGGGGCTCAGTGTGCCTGTAATTTAATCCCCTCCCCTTATTTTTATTTATTTTTGTACTGTGCTGATTAAATAAAAATGCACTGACCATCCATTACACGGCAGCGGTTCGTGGCGGAGTCTTTTCTGCAATCCCACACCTCCGCCGCCCCCTTCGCGGCGTTGGCAAATTGGATTTGCTTTGACGAAAGAGGGGTTTAACGCGGCCGCGGGTTTAATCGCGCTCCGGGCGCCGGGGTCACCCCGTGGCTGGGGGCTGACGGGGCTGCGCGAGGCGTCGCGGGGCGAGGAGGAGCATCCGGCACGTGAGAGGGGAAAAAAGCGGGTTATCGGGACGCCAAAACTCCGTTTTCCATCTGTGCATCATCTCACCTGAGCCACCGCGCCAGGCAGAAACTGGGACCGCCATAGTGGGATGCAACTA